GTCGTGGCGCGGCGCTGTTCTGGAGACGGCCACATGGCCGGAGCGACGCGGCCCGCTCCGGGGAGGCACCGCTCGAAGCCAGCCAGATGGCAGGAGGCCGGGGCGAGCCTGCGGTGGCCGCGGCAGCAGGGCCAGAGCCGGGGCCCGGAGCATAGCGTGCGGGGAAGCTGGCGCTTGCCAGGGTGGGAGCCGCGAACTCTGGGCCTGCCTCGCTCAGCTCCTGAGTGCAGGAAAATTACAGCTTTCCAAATAGACGCATATTAGCCGGGGCCGTGGGAGGCTGCAATTAAACTTGCCGAGGGAACAGGCACGCGTTGCAGCTTCCCCTTCGGCTCAGAAATGGCAGGCTAGAAGGGCGGGCCCGCGTAGGAGTCGCCGCCAGGGCTGCGCGCCCAGGCCGGGCCCCCTCCCCTCCCCGCCTTGCGCGCCGACTGCAGGGGCTTGCCTGGATGCTCGCGGAGCTCAGGCTCGGCCTGCAGCCCCGGCTGGGTGTGCCGTGGGGGGGCTGCGTCCAGGCAGGGGGCCGTGGCTGCATGCACGCAGAGCCGCTGGTGCTGGAAACCCTCAGGGAGCAGCGGCCGGAGGGAGATGGTGGCCGCCCGGCTGCTGGGCACAGAGGAAGCCCCAGCTCCTTCCCTGCCGCAGCCTGCTCGGGGGCTCGGGCTGGCCAGCAAGGCCCTGCGTTGCCTACAGGCACCTCGCCTGCCCTCTGCCACCTGGGCACGCTCTGCCGTCGCCCGGCTGCACGCCGAGCTCCTTGCGGACAGTGCACAGCTCCTAGCAGCCGGGAGGCTTGGCTCCCGCCCGTCTTCCTGGCTGCCAAGGCCCTGGCAGGGATGCGGGAGCTGATCTCTCCTGCGGGAGCTGCTGCTCCTGTGCTGTCCTGGCTGGTCGGTGGGCCCCGGGCCACCGTGGGCCCATGCGGGCTGCACGAGGGCGAGGCGCCTGGCAGGCGCACGCCGTGACAGAGAGAAGCCCTGGGTGGCTGGTTACATAAACCGCCATATGTTGCAGGCGGTAATGTCGCCCGGCAAGCACGGTACAGTCGTCAGCATCCCAGGCTGCGTCTGGCACAGGCAGCCCTTCCCAGCACGCCTTGCGGGGCGGCCTGCCAGGTGCCACAGCCCTCGCTGGGCAGCCCTGCGGGCCCCGGACATCATGGCTCTGGGCTGGGCGCCGAGGGGGCTGCAGCGCCACAGCTCGCTGCTCCGGCCCCTGTCGGCTGGGGGAGGCCTGATGCTGGGGTTGCACCACAGGTCTCTGGATCAATGCCAGGGTAGGTGAACCCAGGCTCTGGCTGCACCGAGGTGCGCGCTGCCCCTGCGGGCTTACGGCCATCCTGCCCTCACTGCCCTGTGCCAGGAGGCTGCCCGGGTGTGCAGTGCCCCCAGACCGGGGCAGCGATGGGCGGCTGGGCCCCCTCACCCTGGCTGCCCAGACTTTCCCTGAAGGTGCAGCTGCAGGTCAGGCGGTTCCTTGCTGCTCTGCTCCGGCACCCAGGGCCCTGCACGGGGGATGAGCTGGCGTCTGATGCCACCTCCAGTGCAGGTGCGGGCTGAGAGCCTGGGGGTAAAGATGGGCTGCACAGGCCAGGCTGAAACGCTTCTGTCCCCTGCCCACCCTCCACGCATGGCTGGGACTGAGCAGGAGAGACCAGCCTCTGCCCCAGCAGCCCCCCCGCCCTGTGCCCCTGGCCCCCGTGGACCTGTTGCAGCACTGCAGCAGGCGGGCGCGGGCAGGGGGCTCCGGTGCTCTGACCAAGTGTGTCATCCAGCAGCTCTGACAAGCTGGGAAACCCCGGGTGGCCCCAGCCAGTGCTCATGGCCCTTTGCCTTCCCCCTCGTGGTTCTCGGGGCGGGCTGGGAGCTGGTCCCATCACGCCGGGGGTCCTGGGCCCCACCAGGGAGGCTCTTGCTGTAATTGCAAGGCATGAGCCTGTGTGCACAGTGCCTGCTGTGTCAGTTTAATGATTTTTAATGAGCAATTACCTTTCGTCGTTCCCCTAATTTCTGAATATCAATAAAGTTAATTAAACTCTGCATGTGGGCTGCTCTGGAGCAGCGCGGGGGAAAGGTAGGCGCTGGCGAGGGGCACGGGGGGCGGGGAGAAGGCAGGCAGGCAGGTGGGAGCATGCGGCAGGGCCCAGCGCAGGCCTGGAAGGAGCTGCTGCCAGGACAGGAGCCTGCTGGGAAGGGAGAGGGGATGCAGGAGCCCTGATCCTGCCCCTGGTCTCAGGCTGGGGTGTGGCAGGCCCCGGCCTGTTGCACGTGCTTTGCGTGGTCAGGGGTCCCCAAAGGCCCTGGGCCTGCGGGCAGTGGAGCTGCACTGGGCAGTGGTGTCTGCAGGGAGGCCAGGACGGGCTGTTGCCAGCAGAGTTCATGCGGGCACGGGGCTGAGTGGGGGCAGCTGGCAGAGCCGCAGAGAAACTTGGGGCTGTGGATGTTGCTGGGAGGAGAAGGCCGAGCACTGAAGACCCCTGCCCCCTTCCTTGGGGGTCCCTGCCAGCTCCAGCTCTCTCCAGATCAGAGTCCCCGCCAGGCTTGGGTGGCCCGGGGGGCTTGGAGCAGACGGCTCGGTACAGCTCCGGGAGGAGTCGTCCTGCCTGTGAACGTGGGGCCAAGGCTGGGTCCAAGCCTCATGGCTATGTCCTGGTGCCAGCAGGCAGCCATGGCCCCAAGAAGAGATGCCCCAGGGACGGTGGAGAGGGCAGTGCCAGCACCAGGAAGGGGGTGCTGGGGGCACGCGGGGAGGAGCGGAGCCCCTGGCTGAGCAGCGAGCTGGCTGCACCTGGCAGCAGGAGGGGTTGATACCAGCAACATGGGGCCCGCTTTGGTGCCCACCCCAAAGGCCAAGCCACTGCCTGCTGTGGCGGGTGCGCCGTGGCCGTGGCAGGGCTCAGACGGACCCCCTCACCGCGGTGGTCCGGGGGGGGGAGGGCAGACTGGAGGAAGCTGCGGCTCTGCCTTTGCCGGATGCAGCCCGAGAGGATAATTTAGCCTCCAATCAATTCTTTAAACGCACACAATTGAAAGATTGCCTCTGAAAGCCGCCCATAAACAGTGCGGTAATGGATTCCTCTCCGGTAACAGCCAGCCGGCATATAAACTTACACAACAAGGATCCCCGGGCAGCCCTAATTCATCAGCTGCTGAAACAAGAGAAATGAAATGGAGCCACGCCGGGCAGGGGCCGTGGCCCCGGGGTGGCTGGCAGGGCCGGGAGCGGGGTGCGGGGCCTGCCGAGCTCTGGCTGCCCGCAGCCCGGGCGCAGGTGGGTGGCGGGCACGCAGCCCGGGCCCACCGGGCACGATGACTAAGCTGTGCCCAGGCTGCTGTCCAGGCAGCGCTGGCGAGGCCCTTTCCCGATGCCGGGCCTGGGCGTCATGCGGCCCCGCCTGCCGCTCCAGCGCTGCCGTCCCCGGCGACGCTGTGTCCTTGGTGCCGGGAGCCTGTGGCGGCCGCATTGTGCAGCAGCAGCTATTGTCTTGCAAAGCGGCGCTTTGCCGGAGCACGCCGCCCCCTTCTCCCTTCTCCCCTCTCCCTTCTCCCTCCCCAGCGGCTCTGCCAGCAGTGGGGAAGCAGGCCAGGCCCCGGGGAGCTGTGGGTGGTGCGGCGGCAGGTGGGGGGCCCTGTGCCAGGCGGCCTCGTTAGCCAGCGAGCGTCGGCTGCGGTCGGGGCGTCGCGGGCCCATGGTAGGACTTGGCAGAGGTGGCACGGCGGGGCCTGGGCAGGGTCACGGCCCTGCAGCCGCAGCAGTGGGCCGATGACAAGACTGAGCCCTGGGCGGGAGACGGCACAAAGCTCGCTGCATGCAATGCTGCACCCGGCCCCTACCAGCACCCTGCACCCCCGCGCCACCCCTCGGCTTTGCCCCAGCCCAGCCCCCCAGGTCCTGCAAGCGAGCACCTGGAGCCTGCTGGGGTCCCCTCGGGTTCCCCGTGTCCTATCCTGCCCCTCCCGTGGCTGGGGGCTGGGAGGGGGTCGCAGCAGATGCCAGCCCCCGGCACAGGGCACTTCCAGTCCCAGGCTGGCTGGGGTGCCGCGGGGGCTGGGCCTCTCCCGGGACGGGGAGGGCACACAGGTCGGGGCGCCGGATGGGAGTGGCCGTGCAGGTGGGGCAGGGTTGCAAGGTGCAGGGAGCCGGCTGCCTGCTTAGCTCCAGCGGGCACCGCCACATGTATAATTTAAATCCAGTAACAAGATGTGCTGAAGGTTTCAAATATTCATCAGCAGCGCGAGCACTGCCGCGACCTGGGGAAAATGGAGGCAGGCGGCTGAAATTCAAGATCAGATGGAGCTCGGTGACCCGGCCACCGTGGAGGCCTCTCACCCACCTGGCACCACCTGGGCCTGCCTTCTGCTGGCCCAGGGCCCGGAGGAAATGCAGGTCGTGGCGCACCTCCATGCACCGAGCCTTTCTCTGCATAGCGATGCTGGCACCGGGGGGTGCATCCCCTGCCACGCTCGCTGGAGCAGAGCACCCTGGTGCCAGCAGCAAGGGGAGCCCACCTAGGCATGCACAGCTCCTGCCTGCATCTGCCACCCAGCCCAGGCTGAGGGGCAGCAGCCTGCCCCGAGCCCCCGCCTATGAGTGCAGGCTCCTGGGGTGCTTGAGGGAAGGGGGCAGGTGCAGGGCTGGGACCTATCCTGCAAGCGGGGGCTGGGCTGTGCCTGGCAGGCTGCCTGTCCTTGCAGCACCGCTTGCTGGGGGGGGTGCATAGCCTTGCACCACCTCTGCCCCATGCCCGGGTGCCGTGCTCTGCCCCAGCAGCTGCAGGCAGCGCCCACCGCTGAGGCCTGCGGCCACGCCGACTCTGTGGCCATCGGAGTCACGTGTGCTGGGAATTATTTATAGCCTTATTGACCAGCCCAGAGGAAATCAGCAGTTGCCGCAAGCAGCATCTGGTGTGAGCCCCAGTGGCTGCCCATGCCCCCGCCCCACAGGGCACTGCTGCCAGCTCCTCAGCAGTGGGGGCAGGCATCTGTCTCGGGCACTGCTTTGGGGCGGAGGGTCCATTGCATCCACCCTCGAGGGCACAGCCAGCGCCGGGCCAAGCTGAGCCCCGATGCAAAGTGCGTGCAGCGCCAGTCTCTCCCCCAGGAGGTCGCCTGCCCCCCGTGCCCACCGGGCCCTGCTCCAGCGCCCTGGCCCAGAGCTGTTGGGCAGAGGGTGGGCACGGGGGCAGGGGTGGCGCGAGGGAGATGGTGGGGAGGTGGCATCGCTCTTCCCTGCTGGCTCCATATTCTCGATGGCTTTTGTTCCCACGCGGGCGAGATAAGGAGCAATAATTAAATCTTCCCCAGGGCACAGCGGGAGGCTTTGGCAGCAGAATTACCGGGCGCCTGCATTCGCCGTCGGGCTTGAACGGGCTTGTTCGGCAGCGGGTAGAGGGGGACCCCCCGCCTGCCTGGCTTGACGCGGCGGTGCAGCAGCTGGGGGGGTGCGGGGGCTCTGGTCCTGTCCTTCCTGAGGCAGCTGGGAAGAGGGTGCCTGCTCCCCCTGCCCGGTGCTGGGAGGTATTTGTACAGCACCTTGCGCGGGGCCGCCCACCCCTTCCCTTGCCCCCGGGAGCCTCCGGGCTGGGCCCTGCTGGCATCATCAGGCAGCAGAAGGGGCCGGAGCTGCCCCACGGTGCTCAGCACCGCAAAGGCCCCCAGCTTGACCCCTGCCCCACGGCTCAGGCGCCAGGCCCAGCTCCAGTGCTCGCACTGCAGCCTCTGACGCAGAATGAGCTTTGCTGCCTGAGAGCTGGGGGGAGGAGGGGATGGCAGTGTGGGGGGAAGAAAGCAGCTTCTGTTCCCCGCGGCGCTGGAGCAGGCCAGGAGCTCAGCCAAGCGGCAGCTCCAGCCAGCGCCGCCCCCCACGCGGCCGTGCAGGCGGGAGATAAGGCGCACGGAGAGCGGCGCGGGGCTGGCAGCCGGGCTCCTGCATGGGCTGCGGGGGGATTCGTGCGCCTGAGCGCTCGGTGTCGTGCGGTACCCTCGTGCCGGCTGGGCTGGGCGACGGGGTCTGGGCATGGGCCAGGCCTAGCTCCCAGGC